TTCGTTAAGGGAATTCAACGAGTCAAGAATTAATAACAGGTTGACTTATCAAATTAACAAGTTTGATCCATTTACTTATTTAAAATTTTAAAATTATAATACATTATTTCAAAACTTAAAAAGTCGAACTCCTACTCAAATTCCTGATTCCGCCTCTGTCCAAATTATCCCAACTTTGGAAAGGAGTCATAGACGGCTTTTGTACATGAGGACGGTATTCATCGGCACCATACAGAAAGTTAGAATATTCAAACTATCCTAACTTTGGAAAGAAAATTAATTTAATAAAGTAATCTGCACACAATTTATGAAGATGGTAATTTTATACCAACGAGTAGTTGGATCAAGTGTTAAGCGGTTTGTTTCAGTTTAAATAAAATCTTAAGTTTAAGACTTTGTGTAAACAGCAGTTTTTGTTGAAAGATTCACTCACTATTTTCAAGTGCACGATGCAGGTCGATTCCAAATTAATCGAAGTGAAACCCGGGATACCGGGTGGAAACAAAAAAAAAGATGGTAATTCTATGGTCACCATAAACAAATTAAAAAAAGGGTTCCCGGATTTGTAAAACCTCATGGCATGATATTCCGTTTTGCCAGAAAGAATATTCGAGTTATTTTAAAAGTTTCAGGTTAGGGTAGCAAGAATTATTAATGATAGCCATTGACGGGGATTTGTTTTCACCCTTACATGGACAAAAGTAATTAAAAAGCTCACAGTTAACTCCTTTTTTTTCACTTTAATTTTTGTAGCTCAAATTTTAATTGTTGTTCTTCACACATTTTTTAATGTAAAATTTATTTATTTTTTACTTAAATTTTTAATAAATTTAAATTTATTATATAGGTTTATAAATAATAATTTGAATATATAAAATATAGATTGAATAAAATAGTATTGATAAAATTTTTTAAAAAGTTTTGTTTAAATATACACATTAGAAATAAAGCATTTTATTTTGAAATTAAATATATAAAAAATAAATTTATATAAAATAATATTAATTGTAATAATATAGCATTAAAATGAATTTTTTATTGAATTTTCATTATACATGCTGTAACATCCCGCTATGTGGGGTGTCATCCTATTGTGTCACTTTGATGCAAAAAGTAATTTTATAAATTAATTGTGAGAAAAATTGTAAAACTGATGAAAATAAAGTACTAATGACTAATGATCTTTTCTGCCCTTTGAAATACATGCAAACTAATTTGAGAACAAATTTACTATTAAAAAAACTTAAAAAAGATAAATATGAGTTTGTTAAAGCTTGATTAACTGTATACAAAATTAACTAACAATAAAGGAGATCAAGCTAATTAATTAAATGCACTTAACGAAAAAAACTCAAAACATAGTTAATAAAACAAAGTGTAGTACACTGCATGCCATTGAGGTAATTGATCAATATTTCATGTGCATAACTTAAAGAAACCCAAAATATTATTATTTATTTGACAAGGAATTTCTTTAATTTAAAAGTAAAAATGTCAAAATATTTCGTATGTATCAATTTTTTTCCAAAATCTTAGGGGACCATGGTCCTCATTGGCCCTATCAAAGCTCTAGGGAAGAGATTTAGAAAAAGAAGAGAGTTAATTTTTTTTATATAGTTTATAATTAGATATAAAAAATAGTTAATAGCATTAAATTTATAAGACACAAACCTTCTAATTATTTTTTTTCCTAATTTTTCATTTTGGGTTTCCATTATGTTAGGTTGTAGTATAAGAACGAATTTTTAGGAATCAAGAGTAGCAAAGCTTATGTCAGCCATGGCTGGATACGAGAATATGTATATTATGAATTTTTCAATGACATTAATGGAAAGAAAACGGATAATTTTTAATGGGGTTAATGGAGGCTAACCAAAGTGGATAGAAGGACTATAAATTACCAGTTTTTTTAAAAGTAGATTTTATTTGTTACTAAAAGATATTTTAGATATTCTTTACCTATTTCTTAATTGCGTAAGGGTTTTATTTGTCGTTAAATATACATTTTTTATATAAATTTCTGACAAAAATGAGTCTTAGAATTCAATGAAATAATTTGAACAATTTTAAGATTATTTGTAGGCTTTGTTGAAAGAATACAGTGAAATTTGAATTTCTTTTTTTAAGAAGGAACTTATAGTATGTTTGATTTAAAAGAAATAAAAAAAATAGAAATAGAAAAAATTCTTTTATTTAATTACCAAAAAATATTGGAGGAAAAGGAAAGGAAGGTAGCATTTGGAGTTGCTTTCCCACCACACTTTTTGTACTGTACCTTATAAAAGCGTTAATTTAAACTCACTAATTAATATATTTAATTGTCAAATAAAATACCTAACAAAATACATTCTCTTTCAATGCTTACGCCTTAAATCAGGGTGGAGCTATGAAGAGACCAGGGACGGGCTATAGCCCCCATATCTTTTGAAAAGTTTCAAAATTAGTCCCTAAATTTTGTATTTTATGAAATTTATCCTTAATTTTTATTTTATACACTTAATTATTTTTCATATTTATGAAAATAACCATCATTAATTCTTTTTTTATACATCTAATAATGAGTTATGTAAAAAATGATAACTTTCCCTTTTTTCCTAACTCTCTTTACCCGACTCAATGTTTGAATCAGAAATCTTTACTGAAAATTTCAAGTTCTTAATTGATTAAGTCATCTCTTTAGGGGCATTATTAGTCCTTTTGTAAATCTTATCATTAAATTCAAAATATAATGTTATTATAACAATTAGTGACAAATCTATTAAATATAAAAACTACATTTTAATCTCTAATATTTTTGGCAAAGTTTTTGGTAAGAAAATCCCTAAACTTTTAACATTTTTTTTAGTCTTGTCCTTCCTCCTACTACTTAGATCATCACCTTTATATGCCCAAAATCAGTCTAAAATATTTGTTTTAGTCATTAATATCTATTTTTTAAAATTAAAATATTAAAACTTCACTTTTAACTTATAATATTTTACTAAACCAAATTTGTTTATTTTATTTTGTTATTTTCTATACAAAATTTTTATATATATTAAAATAAAATTTTTATATATATTAAAATTTATTACATACTATTTTTTAGAAGCGTTTTATTCTATATTTTCTTCCACAAATATAACTAGATTTATTTAGCAATCACAAAAAATTTCGAAGTATAGATATTTCATATTAAGTATAGCCAACATTGATTTTTGACACAACTTTTAACTTTACAACTATGGCTTCGTTTCACAAGGCATTTCAATCCTTTAAATTTTGGTTTTTATATCTTTTTATTATTTTAAAAATATATAAAATTTTAATTAAAATAAATATTAAATATATTTTATTTTTTTTAAGATGTTAAAAAATAAAAAAATATATAGTTGTGATTATAGACTAACATTGTTAAACTAAACCTACGTATTACATCATTTGGTCTTTTTTAGTTGTCATATTCTATCTAATTTGTATTAATTAATTTGATTATTTATATAACAAATGAATGACAATTAAAATTTTTTAACTTAAGTAAAAGAGTTTGTTTAACTTGTATTTTTAGGGCACAAGTTAAGAGCACAAGTTAAGAGTGCGATAAATGCATCCTCTTGTATTTAATTCACATTAAAATTTGTAAAAATTGATATATATTTTGACATCACTGATATGTGAATGATTTTAATTAGTTAATTGATTTAATCAAAATTAACATTTGTATTTTTAATAAAAATTAATTATAAAAATATATATTTATTGCATCAATATTCTATATTTTAAGGGTACAGAATAAAAAAATCTTAAGTAAAA